ATGCGCAACATCCTATAGGTTCTGTACTGGAATTAGTCAAGTAGTTCACCTGGTTCGAGTCTTCGGGTTTTTCCGAGTCGTTCGTTCATCACGTGACAGCCCCATAAGCTTTAACCAATGCAGTCTGAGCCGGAAAGAGAATTGATTAGTTCATCTCTTGAGTCTTCGGGTTTGAGTCGTTCATTCATCACGTGACAGCCCCATAAGCCCAAACCCGAAGACTTGTCAGATAAAAGGTGAGCTAATCATAGACTGAAGACCCAGGTAAACAATGAATTCATCTTTTCTGTTTCTTATAGCAGTTTTGTATTGTATGTAGTGTGATCAACGTTTCCTTAAGTAGTAGACGTATTAGGGAAGTAACACGTAACATTTTAATTATATTTTGCAAAAATTAACGAAATGACTCGAAAAAAGATTTGTTCATTTTGCTGAACGAGACTCAAAGGTCCGAGTCGGTAAAATTATCCGAACTTCCCATCACTACTCGTCACTCCAGCAGGGACAAGGCATCACAGTATGGTAAGGGGCATTCTTGATTTTTGAGCATTAATACAAATTTTTTTAAAAGTATGGTAAGGGGCGTAACATTTCCGTCACACGCTTGAGGTATTCGGCCAATCACAATGCACTGGATAGATATCCAATCAGAGCACACCTCACTTTTCAGACCGAGCTTTGTAAAAATCTATGCCTTTCAGAAAGGCAGGGCATAGAGGAGAAACAATAATATACATTATATGGAAAATAATGTTTTTTTTATGTTAAACTGCATAAACACATTGCATTACACCAAATACACAACATGTTCTTTTTAGTAACGTCATAATACCCCTTTAAAACACATCTTCATGAAAAACAAGAACATATCCTCTCTTTTATGATCTTAAGCAAGACTATTATTAAGCCTACTTAATCATTCGTTTTTGAATGACATCTCTTCTTCTCCTCATAATAACTCTTGTCTGCACACAAGCAGAATCAATGTGCAAGTAATGTACAATGCTCAACTAACCTAGTCAATATTCCTGATGTGGGTGAAACTCGGGTAACATCTCGTTTTTTCAGTGGTAGTCATTCCAAGGATCAATACAGATTAGTGAATGGATCAATTCTCATTTTTCGTTGCCTTTTTTGGTGCCCGTGACACAAAAACCCGCAACCAACGGGCAAGGGG